CAATATGGAGATGAGGAAATCTTACTCATGATCCAAAAAGCAATCAGGTCGAACCAATTTTTCTTGTATTTTACAAGGATGAGAAAACCTTGTTTTCATAAAAATCTCCGTAATATCTGAATTTTTTCTAAATGCATCTCCATCTTTCTCCCCAGACACCAAATGAGAACAGACAATGCAAAATGTTGTCTGATACAATGTCGTACTGATAGAAACAGACCCCTGAAATTCAAGTGAAAATATATATTATATCAAGAAATCCAGTAATGAGAATTAAGTAATATCATGTGCTAACTAAATAATAGAAATTCATTTTTCAATAGGTCAAAATTTTTATTTAAGACACGATCATGTTTCAGAGTTGGCAGATTATAAGTAGAAACCTGAAAACGTGGGTTACATGTACCTTGTTTCCAAGGTATCCCATAATGCCTGTTCCAACACATGAGGCCTTCAGACTGCTAATATGCTGATATAAATCTGCACAAACCCAAACACATAAAAAGATCCAGACCATCTGCTTACTTGCAGCCAAGCAGAACCAATGATGCACAAACGAGTTTTATTCCCTTGTGCATGAATTAGGGCTCAAACTCCTAAATATGTCCAAGTTCTTTTGATCATGCTGATCTTCTATTGGAATCGAGTACAAGTGGCTCTTTCTTGGATGTTGTTGGTCATTGCAGGATGAAGACTTTTTCGTGTCACAGTTAATCGTATTGCTGCAATTAGCAGGCTGCTCTGAGTTGTCATGTCGTTTTCCTTTCATAGCTTGGCGTATCAAGGAAAGCCACTTAATAGCTCGACTGCAGTCTTCGGGGCTATTACATTGCCTACATTCAGAGGCTTGCAATAGGCATGTTTATGATAGAACCTGCCGAAATTGAATTGCCCATATGAAATATTATTTGACTAGTTGATAAGGCGAATCACATAGGATTCAAATTAATAGGAGTTTTATTGAACTGAAAATTACAGACTCGATGACTAAAAGAAATGAGAGATTAACAAGGCAAGTTTCTAGAGTTGCCTCCTCTCCTAATGACTCAAATTTCCACTTTTCTGAATGAATATTCCAGACCTATCCTTCTCTATTTATAGATTCTAGCTGACCTCAGCATAACAACTTCAACAATTCTAGAATATTCCCTCCAACTCCTCTACACACCTTTCTTGTGATGACGCTGGTAAGTGAATTTTACGGGAGGTTTATCAATATCCCCTGCCAACAAAAGCAC